TTTTAAAGTAGCACTTAAAAAACATTTGCTTGCAAAAGATAACATTTAGTATAACCAACTAAACTTTGTATATAGTCTTTGATAATTGTTTAAACTTATATTTGTAACCTTAATTATTACTGCATGCATGTAACTGTAAATAATATCTATCTATCTATCTATCTATCTATCTATCTATCTATCTATCTATCTATCTATCTATCTATCTATCTATCTATCTATCTATCTATCTATCTATCTATCTATCTATCTATCTACAGTATCTATCTATCTATCTATCTATCTATCTATCTATCTATCTATCTATCTATCTATCTATCTATCTATCTATCTATCTATCTATCTATGTTAGGCTTGTGATACTTAGATATGTCAGGCTTGTGATAGTTGCATGTATGTCAGACTTGTGATAGTTATGTCAGACTTGTGATATTTAGATATGTCAGGCTTGTGATAGTTATTTCAGGCTTGTGATAGTTATGTCAGGCTTGTGATAGTTATGTCAGGCTTGTGATAGTTATGTTAGGCTTGTGATACTTAGATATGTTAGGCTTGTGATACTTAGATATGTCAGGCTTGTGATAGTTATTTCAGGCTTGTGATTGTTATGTCAGGCTTGTGATAGTTATGCTTGTGATAGTTATGCTTGTGATAGTTATGTTAGGCTTGTGATACTTAGATATGTTAGGCTTGTGATACTTACAGTAGATATGTCAGGCTTGTGATAGTTATTTCAGGCTTGTGATACTTAGATGTGTCAGGCTTGTGATACTTATATATGTTAGGCTTGTGATACTTATGTGATAATTGTGTTAGGCTTGTGATACACAAACTTGTGATACATAGTTGTACTCGCTTGCTGGTAATGCATCAATAGTGCGGAATTAATACGAAAAACTGTTATACATACTGTTGCTACCGTGCCAGTATATTGCTGTATTTTCCTACATATATTTGCAGGGCTTTTAAAAATACGCCGGCGGCCGCCGAAGCTCCGTGGGTGTCGCGAGATTTACCGCCAGTTACTTTGTTTATAGTACTTGAAATATCAATTATGCTCTCCTTCCTCCACTCTTAGCTTTCAAACAAAGTTATTTGTTCCCCAAGCTGGTCTACTTTGTATCCTGGTTATTTTCGAAAACGACGTACTATTTCATAAAACTGATTAGGTATATGCCATCTTAAATCTTGAAGTTTTCTTGTTCTAGAATAAAAGTAGTGATACTGTACATTATAATTTGGTTACAGAGCTCAGTTGTGTTGCTATCTAATCATCATACGCTAGTGATTAGTTAGTTTGCATGACTTTAAGACTCCATAGACCGTCCCACTCTCCACAGCCGCTTACTTTATCAACTCTGAAATTCCAGGCTGTGATAGATGTATAACCTCACATCCTCTAATTTCTTTTGTTTCAGTACATTTGCTGACAAATTCCTGAAAACTCTGAGTGATGAGTTATTGAATCAATATGACACTCTTATCAATGAACCGTCCAATGACTGGGATATTTATTACTGGATGACTGGAGTTAAGGAAACACCTCAGAAATATGACAATAAGGTGATGGACATGTTGAAAAAACATGCGCAAAATGAGGAGATGGAGGTTAGAATTCGACAGCCTGATCTGAAGTTTTAGTTTCCTGGTTCTGATAAAAAATCTGTTGTCTGGGTACAAATTAACCACAGGTTTTGTTTCGTACTGTAACTTGTACACAATTTGTTATGAATGTGTTAGTTGGACCTTTCCAAATGCTTGAAAAAAACATGACTTTGGTAACTATATAATGCGGCTGCATTATTACCACCGCTTTCCTACTAATAGAACGTTTAATCAATATACCCCGGTTCCTGTTGACGGCTACACGTGATATACACGTATCCGTACCCGTAAATGAAGTCCACCATTGATCAGGGAAAAATTGACGAGCATACGTGAGTGATTCAGGTAAAATGTTGAAGTATTTTTACTTCAACGGCCCACAAATAGTAAACAGAACACACCCGTACCCACTTGTCTTTTACGTCTGGTGAAACTTTAGGGTAGAAATTACGAGTAAACATGCTGACATCAGTAAACATTGGTAAACAAAATGGCGACACTTGTACCCGTAAACCGGAACGGGAGTTTCTTAACTTGTCTAATGTATAATTCTTTCCCCACCACGCAAATTGGCTTCCTACTGTAAATTTCCAACCTAGCAAATAGACCTTTCCCCTTATGAGTGAGATCAAGATCTAGATACGCCTGGACAAAAAATTCTTCACAGCTTGAAAGAGCATCTCAAAATTAGTAATATCCCGAAGTTTCGTTGCGAAAAGTTGTAAAATGCGGATAATATAGCCTTGCGAAGTTTGCCGTTTTTCAGTCATTTTGTATTACAAACGGGAAATTGATAATCAGTTGATCAAACTGATTATCAATTTCCCATTTGTAATACAAAATGACTGAAAAACGGCAAACTTCGCAAGGCTATATATTATCCGCATTTTACAACATTTCGCAACGAAACTTCGGAAAATTACTAATTTTGTGATGCTCTTTCAAGCCGTGATGGAAATTTTTGTCCAGACTTGTCTAGATCAAAATTTCACTCAAAAGGGGAAAGATCTATTGGGCCAGACCTGCTAGCCGCGTGCATATTGAAACTGCCCCTAAACAGTTTTCATCAGTGAGCAGAAACAAAATGTCAGTGTATTAAAAAAACATACGTTATTTTGTATTAGTTTGTTGCAATCTAGGGTTCGAACCACCTATAGGATGGCTAATTAAGTTTGAGTTTACGGTATTGTATAACTCTAAGGTTTGAGTTAAATATTAATGCGCGGGTTGGCTAATATAGTCTATGACACAATAAGGTCACTGCTATTGCGGTGACGAACACGCAAATACTGTAAGAAGCATTATACCTCGGTTAATATTGTATTATATGAAACTCAGTCGTTGTGTAATATACCACTTTGTAGTTGAAAGTAAATTTAACTGTGTTAAATATAAATTGGCTGCAAATTCGACACTATACTCGTGCAGTATCTTTTCTTTCTTATCAATTTGGGACTGACTCTAAATTAGTAATGTTTTCTTCTTATGAATATTAATAAACGCGTCGTTGAATGCTAAGCATAAATTTAAACTACTACAGGACTTTGATTACTTCCAGTAGTCGATCCCTATCACGGGCCGATGTTCCAGGTAATTTCTAATACAAAAAGGTTTAAAATGTACAATTGGATGAACATTTTTTAATAAACAGGCCACATGCTGCAATTAATTTATAGTCGATGCTAAAATCCGTTACTTTTCAAATATTTTTTACCTGCGATTGTAATTGAACATTTAAATAATGTCATTCCCCAACATTACTTTGGTTTTCCATGATTGTTTATTAAAGTACACTGTTGTTAGTGTTGACATTTAAGAATTAGCGCTATCAATATTGAACATCGCTAATATCCGGCCTCCCTACGGCCGGACAAAAGGAGCATCTGCATGTACGAAAAGTCAAGCTGGGCAGAGTTTATATCACACGAAATGACGAACTCTCATTTTCATAATTAGAAAATAATATCCCTGTTCGGATCATCGCTCGCGAGAACCGATTCGTTCTCAGTTCGAGAAAAGCTATGATTCTTATCATCTTTAATTTGTTTCGATATCGACCTGTTTATTGCCGGATTTAATATCTGAAATTTGGACAATCCATCTGGACAAAGTTCACTTCCTCGATAAGATCTACATGTGTGCGTCAATAGGAAGATACCATTCTCAGTGGAAAAGAAACCAAGTGTCCTCGAAAGTCAACTTTGCGAATTATATTCGCGCCCACGTTATAGACCTATCTGTTGAATGAACATCTGCTTTTAGGAATAAAATTAGATAACAGAATACTGCATATAAAGAGAAAGTACTGCATACCTTGTTGTCTTCAGTATTGCTTGTTGAGTATATCTGGCAACTTGACAAAATATCAGTGAGAAAGAAGCCACGTGCTGTATTTTCTCACCTTTAAATTACTGTATGTATAATACGGCGTTCGATTTTGAGGAAACATCGGCAACTAGGAATATACCGTCATCCGAAGGGAGCGTATCGTCAGTGAAAAGGAACCATTCATCTTTCCTTCAACCTCGAGTGTTGAGAATATTAATAAGCAACTCTACAGTCCTTTGAGGAACATCTGACGTTTGAGAAACAAAGTGTGGACAAAATTTGAAGACATAGGCATAACATGTTATACAATAGTACACAACAAAAGGAAAATCTTCTTCTCACTTCAAAAGAAGCGACATTCCTTGTGATCTTTAATTCTCTTCAAATCGTCTTCGGATCCATAGCGAATATATTTGAAATCATATTCTTCTTGACGAAAAGACATCAACACAACAGTGTGTCCGATAAACTGACTTTAAATTTGGCTGTGGCTGATTTCGTTGCTTTGACAACATATTTACCTTGGAGAACGTATCTTCTACATATACGAAGAACAACTAATGATTCAAAATATTACACTTCCTTATTTGTCTTCTGTATCTTGAACACTGGGAACGCGATTCTTCTTATTGGTGTTGATAGATTTATAGCTATTACTCGTCCGTTGAGATATCATGTTTTGGTTACTGGTAAAGTAGTTTGGTTTGGAGTAACACTAGCTTGGAGTACAGCACTGATTCTTAGTGTTGGACATTATTTGAGTTACAAAAGAGTGCTGCTGAATATTCATAAAAACTACGAGTTTTCTCTATCATGCTTATCCATTGGACATATGGTTGCAATGTCGATAATTTACACTGTAATACTTAAGGCTGCAAGAAAGCAAGTTAAGTCTGCATTTTTGCTCCAGACAAGCTGTAGGAATGCAGATTCCGGCTCATCATTCACTTTGCATTATAGGAAAAGTGCTTACACTACGTTTTGTATTGTATGTCTATTCTACGCGACGTTCATGCCATATTCTGTGTATAGAATTATAACACATTTTGATGATACTATAACTAAGACATCAAAACGTATAACATGGCGCTGGTTGATGTCCTTTACGTTCTTAAATTCTTGTCTCAATCCCTATATATACTTTTTTGGGATGAGGAAATTTAGATATACATTTAAAAGTTTGCTGAACATGTATACCAAGACTGCAAATACTACTCTCTAAGCTGAAGCTGTAAAATTTAGTTAAACCTGTAAATTTCTTTTTGTGCAAATGTTTTTTTATACTCGTGCTGCCCTTACCAAAATTGAACTGTATAACATCTTGATTTGGTTTCCGCTTCTTCATTTTCGTTCACGTTTTTTTATATTAATATCACATATCAATAATCTTGATCAAAATTGTTCTGAAACGTTTTTGCCTCCATTGCCGCAAAAACTTGTTACAATTTAAAGTTTATTTAGTTTTTCACTCATTGGAGGAGTGTATTCCCAACAGGCTATTGGTCAATTGTTAGGGGATTCGAGGTGTACCTACGATTTAACGTCCGTATTCGAGAAGACGCGAAAGTCTAACGTTTATACTGTTGTCTATGTAAATGCAGCTCTTTTTCCTCAGTCATTTTTAAACTGAGAAGAGGTCCGACCAAGGATTGAACCCAGGTCTCCCAGAGTATTTTGTACACACGAATGTTCTTGATTCATTGCGGCACTTACATGCAGTATAAGACACACGAGGCAATTTTGACTGCAACGTTGTAACGCAAGGCACGGAGTCGTATTATGTAAAAACTGCACAGTAAAATTGAGAACTTACCCCACATTTTACTCCGCCGAATTTTTACTCTCCCGCTACCGACCTTTTCCTCACGTCATATATAGCTACTAACCATGCATTATAATTAAATTACTGAAAATTAAAAATATCAGAAAAGTGAAGTGTTTTCCATTCCCCCTGATTTCATGTTTTTTCACATGCTGTACCATCGCGCTATGTCGGAAAATTTCCCTCGTGCAGCATGAAGGGTTTGTAGATGGAAATTTCGAGTTTAAATTTTATACATTTATTGAGAGCTGACTAGGAGCAGCTGCGAAAAATGAAACAATAGACCCTCGCCTTTTGTAAACACAAACTTAGGATTCATGGGTGTCGCGCTTCTTCATTGATCTTTAATCGTCCTGTACATATTGTGTCTCGTCTGAAACAAAATTATGAAGGCCACGTAATATATCGAGTCAGAGTGTACAAAATACGGGCTTCCTTTATGTTTGAATATCATGCATAAATGGACTCCGTTTGTGCTTGGACATCATAACACTGCGCCTGGTTTAGGACTGATTAAGGTGTATGTATATCATTCTCACACGAAATTTCTATCCTCAAAAATCCTTTGAAATGATTAGCGATTAACAATATGCTTTTATCATAATGACAATATGCTGGCGCGTTTTGTGTTTATTTAATTATCTTTTTTTGCTGAGGATGATGCCACAGGGGAGAAAATATAGGAAGAATTAATTAAAAACATTGTTTAATATATTCTAGACATCCATGATTTATTTCAATTGTGATGGTAAATATTATAAAAACATCGCCATCCAGGACTTGATCCACTCGTTCTGAAATCTTAATGTCTCTAATTTTACTGCCAGAGCAGCTTGGTAAACTTTACAGAAAGATATTTTTCTATCTAGTTTTAAAGCACAAAAGGCATTCTGTTTTTTCATGAAATACATGTCATAGTAATCCAATCTATTGTATGTTCTCTGCATGTCATCTATTCTTAATTAAAATCTTAGTTCTTAGATTTTGTTGACAGTGAAGTGTCGCTCAATCTTATTAATTTCCATTTTAATATAAAACCATATTCAATTATCACCAAACGTGTTGTCTTTGATTGAACTTCTAACACGTCGTGGCGTTGCTAATATGCATACTATAATTACACATGCATAGAAAATGCAACTAAATGTAGTAATTTTATCTTTCGCGATAATAAAACATTTTGCCGTGTTCCTGTCAAGCAAAATACTTGTTAAACATAAGTGCATGCATGTCCGGCGATAACATGCATATACACGCCGACAAAGAAAATGGCTTGTAAGTATAGTATCTGGTAGTTGATGCACACAAACCACAGCAGTTTTGTGGAATATTATTTTCAGATAGCCTACATTATATGTGAAGTGCTTTTAAGCCAGCTGCATGATAGAACGAGCATATGAGCATTTTCTTCTTTTATTCAAACAATGACACGAGGTTACTAATTTTAACTCTCATGCAAGACTTACCTCAAAGGCCACAGCTTCGAGCTTAATACTGATGCGAATACCGTTTTCTGAGCATGCACATGTTTTATATTAAATATATAGGAAAACTATTCAAACCTCAATTCACATCCATTCTGTTTTCATGCAGGGAAGAACTTTAAATATATTTGTAATTTTCATTTTACATTATCATTTGACAAATGAACAAAAAATTAAATTTGACTTTTCACTGAGTGCATGCTTACCTTTTACACACCTCGCACATTCGCGCAGGAAATCAACTAATGAAAATTTCGTTTAATATAAAAATCAATGAAAATGAAACAGAAGTCTGGCAGGGAATAGAATATAATCCCCTCAAACTGCAGGGAATTACAATTTTGCTGGAAATTCATCGAGCAACTTTAATAATTGTGCAGCTAATTTATGCAGCAAAATTTTACAGGAAATTTAGGTCATTTGCATCTCCCTGCCATGGTTTCTACCTATAGTTTTAATAATAAATTTTACATGAAACGAACTGATGATGGGAAGGACCACAAGGTGGATTTCTCTTAAAAACGTACTTTTAAAAAAAGCTAATTTTCATAAATTGGACAAGCTGCAATATTGGTGTCGCCAACGTAAGTGATTGCACATGCAAGACAGACGTTTTTTTACTTCAGCAAAATCAATTAATGGATCAAGTGTGATATTTTATATTGTAACAGAGATCTTATATCAAGGAGCGTATGCCAAAACGACAATTAAATAGTCTCAACCACTTATGGCTAAGATTATCGCTTGAATTAGTCGGACTTTAATTTAACACTGTCGTACGTTTATTGTCCAAATAATGAAAATTCACGTGGAATTTTTTTTCCTTCATGAATTAATCAGCAGGATATAAAAACGTTGGAAAATATATAATCTGTTTTTAAATTACAATACAGTATTTCCCTCTATATATTTTCCCAAAAAATAAGCCCGAATTTGTTGCCTGCCACTGAAAGCTACGATTTACAATGGATGTCCGCCTCGATTTGAGGCGGTCAGTTCGTGTCCGCGGAAAAACCTGGAAGCGTCTCCTAGTGTCCATTCGCTCCTAATTAGACGGCCTCTTCCTGGAACTAAGTTCTATCATACATCAAGTATACTCATTACACATCAGCTTACTCTGCCATCCAATTTTTATCCAAATTTAACCAAAATTTAATCAATTTGTCCTTAGTCCCACAAAATATTGTATTAATACGTTTGATAGAAGTTATCATGCTGATACACACGCACATTCAAACACGGATCACGTGATAATGCCGTGTAACGTTAACCGATATGGCCAACTAGTAATTGTAAATTGTATGAACGTTTCGCCAAATGTTTCTCTATAATGATGGATTTGGAAAATTGTCAGATTACAAGAACGTGAAAATGTCATCACCTCCCCCAGCATCTATATGTTTCCCCTTCTAATATGCCTCCCGCCCAGAATCACTAGAAAAAGTAAGGCCCCACGGAGCCAAATAGAGGAAATACGATTTGTATGCATGGAGGTTCTGAGGTAACTCCAACTGTATCTGTTGATGTATCAGGACCCTCACTCCAAACTGGCACTATTATATTTGAATCGTCCGCATATTTAAAAAGAGCGTTCTCGCCGTCTATGTCCACCTCTAAATCATTTAGGAAAATATTAAAAAGGTAGGGGCCACTAACGCTCCCCTGTGTTGTACCTTTATTAACATCCATCCATTCTCCACAAAAATCGTTACAAACGACTCTTTGCTTTCTATTCTTTAGAAAGTTTAAATACCAATTTATGATATAAGGGTTGAGTGGCACAGTTTTTAACTTTTCCGAGAGGAGTGAATGTTTCACTGAGTCGAAAGCCTTGCTAAAATCCATAGAAAACAGTCTAACTGCTTTGCAGTCCGCTCTATCTAAGAAGCTGAGTACTTTGTTCTGAATAGTTAACAGAGCGTTTGTACAACTTCCCCCCTGCCTGTACGCAAATTGCGTTGGGGATAAAATTTCCTCAACTGTCGACTTGACCTGACTATTATAAACGAGCTTTTCGAAGGTCCTCGCAATTACAGGTGTAATATTTATTCCACGAAAGTCACCATCTTCCTTTGGTAAATCAACCTTTGCAAGAGGGTTAATATTCGCTCTTTTCCATGAATCTGGCCAAGTATGTGATGAAAGGGACAAATTCCAGACGTTAGTTATAACTTCGGTTAGAATTTCCGCATGATCATTCCAAACCCAATAGGGAATATAATCGGGACCTGTTGCTGTCCTTTTTATTCTTTTCAAGGCATTCCATACCTGCTGTTCCGTAAAGCTAGGAATATCTACTTCATCACCAATAATTGAGAGCGTCGGTTCGACATAATTATCATCGTGGCAGAGTTCGCCAAAGTAGCGATTTAATCTTGTAAGTGATGCATTATCTAAAGTAACTCTTGATGACGATGCATTTCGCTGAGAAATATCATTCGTCTTTCTCCACCAAGTTCTACTTCCCACCAAGGCCCTAAAATTTCTTCTGTTTTGACAAATGACATCAGAAATCCTTTTGTTAATTAAACTGAGTATATGTCATGGAAAAATCTGAACAACAGATATAAAATGAATAAATCGGTCCTGATGTTTAAAATATTAAACAACCACTCAGCTCCGAACTTAAAATATAAATTGATAACAAGGGACATAAATCTTAGTACTAATTATAATCTCAGAAATGCTGATATAAATCTTTCAGTTCCTAAACCACGTACTGAACATTTAAAAAAGAGTTTTGGATATAGCGGGGCTGTTCTATGGAATAGCTTACCTACGTAGGCAAAGCAAACAGAATCTTAAGTAGCTTAAAAAATGTGATAAAATAATGTGTACAACAGAGTCAGGCATGGAATAGTCTTTTTTTTAACTGTTTTATCTACGTATTTGTTATTCTGTGTTATTCTATTTCATATTTAATTTATATTAGTTTTTAGAATGTAATTTCTGTGACGCCCCTCATGAAAATCATCCATGGGTGATGGGGGAAGCGTGGTTAAATAAAGTTCTACTATACTATACTATACTATACTACTTTCAATTAACAT